ACTAACACAATTTTTCCTGAGGCAAGGCAGAAATATACACATCAAAGGGTAGGGTTTCATATACAGAGTCCATTGTCAGAATGGGGAGAATTAGCCTACAGCTGTTCAGGTGTTTGGCCAATAGGAGGCAATAACATGTAGGTTAAGATGTCCTGAGCTGTCTGGCAGAAGCAGTCAACCCTTTTCAGGTTTGAAGAAATACCAGCAGCCATTCCCAACAGGTGACAACACATGTGACTCAGCCCTTGTTGAGTCCCCAAGTTCCATCAACCTTTTGATGAAACTCTTGCAATTATGACATGCTGGAACTGGCTTCTGGCACCCTACTTTCACACTAACCTGAAATCTCAGTTTTCTCTATTTTTCTAGATAGCTCAAGCTTCATCTTGAACTGACTGTATAGGATTGGGTACATATACATAAAAGAGTCAGGGTTTCATGAAGTTTTCCTTCTAAATAAACAACCTTTTGAATATGTAATAGTTTCCTTCTGCCCCTGCCCCTATACTTTCCTGATTTGGATCTTGTGCTATATCCCTTCTTTATTTTCTTTGAGCTGCTAAAGAGTTAAATTCAATTGTAGATTTAGACTTGGTTCTTTTGGTTGTATGGTAAATTTGAACCTTGAAGAAGTTCCACCTAATTGATGACAGCTTACATCTTTCATCTATCCTATTATTAATTCCACAAAAGCAAATTCTACATATCACCTAGGAAGTTTAATACAATTTGCCTGTTTCTGGTTTGTGAGGAGGCATGGGACTTGGTTGGAAGGTCTGGAAGGAGGAATCTCTGAAAGGTCGGAGGTCTCTGGGGGACCTTGAAGAAGGCGGCAGCCCCTGCCTTGACTTTTCCAAACAAGTCTGAGCCCCCAGGTGTTTACTTAGACATGTCCTTGCTTAAAGGACGCATGTGTTTCCTCAAGGATGCTTACCCTACTGATAGTATCTAATAGTTAATTTTAGTTCAAGCTGTTGTTACAATAAAAGCCAAAGGAGGCAGGTGAACAGGTCTATTTGCTCCTAAAGCAAACTAATTCCTTGGCCTCTCTTTCACAGAAACGTGTGTCAACACAATCTGTTCATCCATCGCTCAGGGTCTGCTGGTCAGCCCCAGCACTGGTTGTTTTACTGGAAACAGCAGAACTAGACTTATGCTCTTAGTATTTGAAATTAATGACATTCACAATGTTGACAGGACATCAGAGATCATTAATTGAATACTAGAAATAAAGGACATGGCAGATAAAATGATCTTTTGAAAATATAACCCATTACAAAAATAGTTTCTATTTGTCAGATTTTTAAGTAAATCACTCTGTATTAAGAAAGGATTAGTGCCTGGCCAGTGTGGTTCAGTGGTTGAGCGTCGACCTATGAACCAGGAGGTCACAGTTTGATTGTGTTAAGGGCACATGTGGAGTTGCAGGCTTGGCCTCTAGTAGGGGGTGTGCAGGAGGCAACCGAAAAATGTTTCTCTCAGAATTGATGTTTCTATCTCCCTCTCCTTTCCTCTCTGAAATCAATAAAAATATATTTTAAAAAAGAAAGAAAGGATTAATGAGGAATGATGAGAATAACTATGAGAATAATTACTGAGAAATTAAACCAAAAATGAAATTATCTCCAGGCACCGCCGAATGGAAGCTGTGCGGCTACGGAAAGAGAACCAGATCTATAGTGCTGATGAGAAGAGAGCTCTTGCATCCTTTAACCAAGAAGAAAGACGAAAGAGAGAAAACAAGATTCTGGCCAGTTTTCGAGAGATGGTATACAGAAAAACTAAAGGGAAAGATGACAAATAAGGATTTTCAGATTGTTCAGCAGACATTTTCAACAAAAAGTCTGGGTTCCATATATACATACAAAAAGGTTATTATGATCTGGAAATCTTTACAGTGCTACTGTGCCTTCTATTTAATTCTTTCAGTCCTTCAATAAAAAGCTGCTTATTGATATAACTTTGGTATATTTTGGATTGCCCATAAAACTTTCTGGTTGAAAAATCCAAATTGTGAATGAAATCCTACTATATTTGGGGAGGTGACATTGAGAGATGTCAGTGAGATGAAAAATAAGTTGCACTGTCTCACACCATGGGACAGTGCTACTCAGCTCTCCATGACACTCACCCCCGCCCCAAGTGAACTTGTGGGAAATTATTCCTCTATGTTAAATGTGTTATAAATGGATTGATAGAACCACACAGGAGGCCAGTTTTGTTAACAAAATTAAGGCATTGCTGAAAAAAAGCAAATCTGGAATTTGAAGATTGACTTTATTGTACAATATACAATCTGCCTTGAACACAATGTATTTTGATTTTAGTCCCTACCCTTACCCTAAAACCCACAAACAAACCAAAAAGCAAATTAACCCACAGACTTATTAAATTGAAAATGTGAACATTAGTTTTAAAATTCTTAACAGGTTATTAAAAGTGTTTTTTCCAAATATAAATATCGGGACGTCTACTGTTGTGCCAATGTAAGTACGTTATTTTCATCTAAGCTGTACTTGGATCATAATTTGAATACTAGAAATGAATGGGAGTCAACTGTGGTCAGGCATTTAATACGGAAAAAATATGAGTCATTACTTTAACTTGGTTGTTTTATAAGGATGAAGCTAAAATTTTATTCAACATTTTTTGCCTGTCCTTTATGTAATTTTTTGTCTATCCTTTACATAAACCTTTCAGTTTATTTTTTACATCAGTCATGCAGTTTAATCTTTAATTTTATATAGAACCCCCTCAATTTATCACTTTTTTATGGCTACTATTGACTTTTACTAGTATGTTTTGAAGAAATGGAAAATTCTGGGACTGTGAGATTACAATCTTTTTCCTTCCCTATTTTGTTCAATTTTAGTCACTAGGTCACAAGAGTGAAGCGGGAGGGGACAGTGGAAGCTCAGGTTGTTTTTGTTAAGATTGTTTTGAGCTGCATTATTATGTGCCTAGGATAAATTTAAATTACCTGGATGGTAAGGAAATTCTGACTCTGCTGTTATAAAATGCCCTCTCCTCTCTCTTTAGAATAAAGTGGGGGTTTTTTTCAAAGTTTTCAAATAAGGCAGTCAGATTTCTTTTTTTTTTTCCTTAAGGCAGTTAGATTTCAAAGCATAGCTCAGAAGCTTTACTATTTTATCATGTTTTAGGAAAATGTCTATCTTTAACCCATAACTAGTGAACTGAACAGCCACTTGGCATGTAGCAACATTTATGACCCCTGAATTTGAAGTTATTTATATTTATCATCATTGCTGCCTAGTCTAAGAAATCTATTCTCCAAAAGTTAAAAGGAAACTAGATCCCAAATTTGGGAGTCCTAATCTATCTACTTCCCTGTATAATAAAACCTAAACTTATAATCCCCATTTAAAATTTTAAAATTTTTGTTCTCTGAGAACATTTTTTATTACTGGTTCCTAGAGACTGAATGTTTGTTCTCTTATTTTCAGTACGCAAGATAGTTCAAATGCAACAATTTTGTGACATACTGTGCATTTTCATTGTATTCCTCTGCCTCCTCCAACAAATGTTTGTTGAGTAAATGGAAAAAAATATGTTAATTTATTTCAAAACTTTACCATTTCTTTCATTAGGGTTTCTTCAGGAAAGATGTGCCAAGAATAGTTTCGGTAGCATATTTTCTGGGAAAGGGAAGGGAAGAATAAAAATCTAAAAGTATTTTCTTTTTAGCTTATGAGAGTTACTGCTTCAAACTATGTGCAGTCACCTGAGCCATAAGTCTAATAGGCAGGCTTTTTTCAAAAATACTTTACTTTTTGTTCTCCAAGGAAGACTTTTCTAGTTTCCCACCTCCTCTCCTGTTGCTCTAAGATTTTTCCCTCCGTTTTTATTTATTGCACAAATGTAACAGTTAAAAGAAGAAAAATTACCCACAGTCTTACCACATCATTTGTCTTTAGGGTTCTGTGTTTACTTCCAGTTCTTGTCTATGTAAATATGTATTCTGGTGTACCTATAAGTAATCACTTGTAATGTAATTTGTCTTTGGTGTTTTAAAATGTTGTAGCCAGGAAAGACAGCCTCATAGGGTTGGTAGGAACAAGTGATAATCTGGTGTGAGGATGGGAAGAAGACAAAAAATAAGTGAGGGTGGAGACTGAGCCTTCTATGTTTCATTGCCCCAATTCCTGCTTCCATCATTTCAATGCTGTGTTGTGGCAGGCAGCATGCCCAGTTTTAGAATTTCAGAATGTGTTTAACAATGATACTTCACTCACTGTAAATGAAGGGGTCTGTGAGTAGAGAAACCCTTCAGACTGGTTTTAGTATGAGACGTAGAACTGTTGCCATTTTTCTGTTCCCCAGTTGTGCCCATAAAGAGATATATCTGGCCCTGGCTAGTGTGGATCCAGAGGTTAGAGCATCGGCCTGCGGACCAAAGGGTGCAGGTTTGATTCCTAGTCAAGGGCACGTGCCTGGGTTCATTTGTTCTCTCTTTCTCTCTCTCTCTCTCTCTC